GTGTGCAAAGCAGTAATCAGAGCAAAGGGTGGCTATTTTGAAGAAACTAGAATATAAAACATGTTTTCAGTTATTTCACCTTTTTTTGTTAAGTACATAACTCCACATGTGTTCATTCATAGTTTTGATGCCTTCAGTGAGAATCTACAATGTAAATAGTCATGAAAATAAAGAAAACGCATTGAATGAGAAGGTGTGTCCAAACTTTTGGCCTGTACTGTATATAAATATGACTTGAAAATTTCGGTCTCTGGCTCTCACCATGTGTCGCCTCAGAATGGTCTGGCTCTTCATGTACTTGAGGCAGAATTCACAGACATAGAGGCGACCCAGGCGTGCATACTCCTCAGGGTAGGGTGAGTGATACCAGGTGTCCAGCTCATAGCGGCCAAATAGGATGGTTTTTATCATGTTACTGCCTTCGGTGATCTGACCTTGGATCCGCAGCTTCTCCTGCAGGTGGGAAGATACGTGATAAGATTGTTTTAATATATGAAATCTTATCTCAAGTGTGACACTGATGGGAGATATCAAACAGCCCATTACCAGATCTTCAGATGCACGGGCCTGAGCTTTTCTGAAGAGCTCCAGATCGTATTCACTGGTGATGTTCTCTAGCAGAGGCTCTCTGGTGTTGCTGTGTGTTTGCCGATGCTCCTTTGGGCCAGAACAGAAAGAGGAATGGAGGTAAGAAAATATAACTTCCATTATACAAATATAAAAATGAAGTTGTCATATGTTACATGATGTACCATGTGCTTTTCCTTCTGCTCCTTCTGAAGGCCAGAGTTTCGCCCCTTCCTCATCTCAGCCACCTGCTCTTTGTATTTGCTCTGTTTTGATGTTGGTGTCTGAAAATCGAGACAGAAATACATTAACTTTCATTGTTATTGTATTAACCAATTATACAATGTGAGGTCCTAACATTCATGTTCTTCCTGTGGGATAGTGAACACAACTGATGTGATGCCAATCATTGCAAAAAGAAGCTACCTGATGACGAGTTGCATGGCGCGAGTTGTTTTCTTCCTGACTCTTCACCTCCTCCTCTTGTTTCTCACGGCTGATGGCTTTCACCTGAAATAAAGAGGAAGATGCAGCTCAAACTGTCAAATATTTTTTCACATGCAGCTAGGTCTTAGTAACGTATAGTAATTTTAATTATATATTTAAATGTTATTTCTGAGATACTCACCTTGCATTCATCAGCAGAGAGATTGTGGTAAAGAGGGCAACCTGACACAGCAAAATGACGTTCATGTTTTCCTGTAAGGTGACCTGGGCAAATTGAGAAAAGACAGTAACATATATGAATACAGAGACATTATGTGCAGGATGCCACTGAGTACAAATCAAATACATAATGTTCATGTAAAGAGTCAGAGACTCTTGATGAACCTATACGTTTTCAAAAGGGCAGGGGTTTTACCAAGTGAATTGCATCCTGGCGTAGGGCATTTCATGTTGAAGTTATACGTCTCGTGACAGCGGCGGCGCTTGGGTCGATGAGAGAGGTCCTTATCTGAGTCTCTGTTGGCTTGATCTTTGGCCTGGCTCTCATCGTGGGAGGCATTGGGACTGGAGATGTCCAGCTCAGACTCAGAGGAGGGGGCATTTCCTGTGGGCGTCAATGGTGGAGATTCGTCCTGGTCTGCAGCTCGCTTCAAGTCGGGAGTATCTAAAGTAAACGGAGTCAAACCATCATGTTTACTAAACAGTGAAGATGGTGTGCATTGTAGAAACTTTGTATTGTATTTAAAGGAAAATGGCCAACCCTGAGAACTTTGGCTAAGGCGAGTAGAGGCTCTGGTGAGGCGCTGTCTCTTGGGCATGTTTCCATCACTTTCTGAACTGTTGGTTTGTTCTCTCTCGGCGGAGGAGTCAGAGTCTTCAGTTCCATCTGAACCACTCCCGACCATGTGTCTCTATCGGGCGGGGGGAAACTTAAAATGAGAGGCATCCTATACAAATTCTGTAATCATGGATCACAAATGTAAAGGCTGATGTGCCATTGCAAGTGTCAGTGATGTACATTAGACATGACAATAGGAGTCTGCCCTGCAGAGCACAATCAATGAGGTTAGCTTGCTATTGAGGGCTGATTTGGGTAAATAAAACCAGCATCCCAAAATCTGGGACAACGAAATGCTTGTGTATCAAGAGCTCTGTATATCGGTTTGCCCGCTGTTTCTATCCAGCTTACTCTAAAATTATAATTGGAGAGAAAAGGCCACAGCTGCTAGCTCGCTGCTAGCTGCATTTGTGGTATGGTAAACAGCTGTGATTAACACTTCCACCACAGTTAGCATTTGCGTCTTTTAGAAGAACAGCTGACATATTCAAATAATGTAGCAGCTGATAGCCATAGTAGTGCCTACATATAGTCTAGGTAGCACCTCAGCAACCTAATAATATTGTTAGCTTCGCGTGTAATGCTAGCTAAGCTGTCCTCTTTTTCATACGGCTAATAGACGGTGGTACCAAACTCCATTAACAAATCTTGCATTTTAAGATGTTGTGGTTGTTGGTGCTTCCGTTAATGTGCCCATTTACATATTATAGAAATAATACAGGTTAATATGGTCTCATGGTTAATTCGGCACACATATAACCCACAAAGCAACGTCGATTATCATTAATACCCGCGTTAAAGTTTTAGATATGGGTTAGCTTCTCGTTGCCGCCCATCAAAGTGCAGTTGTCCTACTTTAACGATAACTGAAAATTTTGATAAACGTAAACCATGACAACAAGCGTAAATACAGTTTAAAAACAACACCATTGTTAAAGGCAGTTTGATAGACTGGAGGTATGTAAAACAAATGCAATGTTTTGGCATGCTCAACTGTCAACTTATTGAATGGAATATGGTGGAACATTCGCCTCATCCGGAGAGTGAAGCTAACTAAGCTAACGTTACCCTCTTGTGCGACCTACATTTGTTCCTACCTGTCGTCTACGAGGCATTTTCAGCTTGGTGAGCGGTACTTCCTGCGGGTTAGTAGTCACAAATGGTAAAATCCCCCAAACGTTGGATAAAAAGACGAACGTAAACTATTTATTGATTTTTTTGGGGGGCAGAAGTTTGTATGTACACAGCGTTGCCTGGGTCTCACCCGCCGCATTCCCCGCACTGACAGAGTATGGAATAGCACTTCCGGTGAGAGTCTGTGAAGAGAGAGCCGCCACACCAGCAGGGGGCGTCTCTGTGCCGCACTGCTATGGGCACCCGCAGCAGTGCAGCACCGAGTCACTAGTAATCTAGTAGCTACTAAATGAAGATTAGTAATCTAATCTAGATTTAGGTTAGCAGGACCTTTTACATCAGAGTGTCTGCATTCAAATTTGCATCTTGCTTTTCTAATTAATAGGCCATAAATCACTGTCTCTAAATCAGACAAAAATATCAAGAAACTAGCTCTTCTTGAGTATTCGACTTTATCTAATGGTCTTTCTTAGGATGGAGTTTAAATGTTTAGGTTCTGTGTAAGTGTTGTTGTTGGTCAAACTAAGACCACCCTTAGGTGCATAGATGGATTGGACCTAACACAAATCCTCAAATTAACATGTAGCCTACTGACCAGGAAAAGACATAAAGACCACAAAGAGTTGCAAAGGAACAGAGAGAGTAGTTACAAAAACGGGCAAAAACAACCATAAAGAGACACACAATTACGAAAGAGACACTAAATGACCAAAAAAAGGCACAGAATTATCTCAAATAGACACAAAATTACTACAAAAAAGTTGGGAAACAACCCCAAAAAAAGGGCACAAAATGACTACAGAGAAATACGAAAGAATAAAAAAAATAAAATAAATGACAGCAAGGAAATACAAAGCAACTACAAATAGAGGCAATACAACCAAAAAGGGACTCAAAATGACTACAATAAGACACAGAATGATCATAAAAGACAGAAAATGACCGAAACACAGAATAATTACATAAAGGGGCAAAACATCCAAAGAGAAACTAAATAACTACAGAGACACAAAGCAAATGAAAAAGATACAAGATGACTGCAACAACACATGAAATTACCTGAAAGAAAAACACAAAATTACCTCAAGGAGACACAAAATAACTACAAAAAGGCAAATAGAGGCAATACAACCAAAAAGAGACACAAAATGACTACATAGAGATACAAAACAATGAAAAAAAAAAACACACACACAACATTAGACAAACAACCAAAAAACACACAAAATTACTACAAAACAAGTAAGAAAAAGACAAAAAATCACAGTAAGGAAATACAAAATAACTACATAAAGGGATAAGACAAAAAAATACACTAAATCACCACAAAGAGACACAAAGCAATTGACAAGACACAAAATAACTACAAAAACAGACAAAACATTCCCAAAATAGACACAACATGACTACAAAAAAGGGCAGAACAACTGAAAAGTGACACAAAATGACTATGAAGAGACATAAAATAACTTCAACAAAAAAAGGAGACAAAATCACCACAACGTTTCCAGCAGTGGTGTAGTGGTGTCAAGATGCCCTTACAACTTTGTCATCTGTAAACTTTTTTTTTTCTTTTTTAAATATGAAACAAAAATGTAAGAATGTGTTTAATTTTTGGTCAAAAATCCAAACTGATACAAAGTACCCTTAAGTTCCTTAAAATATCTAGAATTTAAATGTAGCTCAGCCTCCTTCACTGTGGTAAGTTGGTTTGCTCATCACTTAATGTATGAAAAGAACACAAATACTCAGAGTAGAGCTTGCGTCAGGTGTTTATTGACTGTGATTCCAAATACATGCTGTTTCTACCCATGTCCCATTTGTTGTCTTACTTCTCTATTTAGTGTGTCCCTGCCCCCACTTCAGCCCTCTCATCATCTAGTCGGGGGCGGCTGAGGAGAACGAGGAGAATGCATCTGTTTTCCCGAGAGTTCCACGGACAGCCTATAAAGGGCAGGGGAAGGGTCTGTGGCAGGCAACCCTCCCAGCAGCTGATACCATCTGCTCTATATATAGCCTCCAGAGCCAGGACACTGCATTAAAGCACACAGGCCCAACGAACAAGCCACATGCTTTTAACTCCCTGGAAGTCAAAGGAATAAGAAAGCAATTTCTGTCGTAGTGCTGCACAAGAATTAAAATGAACAAGCCCAAAATTGTCAGACCAGAGGAGAGGTGAGTGCTGCCTGTCTCTCTTACTACTACTACTACTACTACTACTACTAATAGTGACCAACATGTGCTTCTCAGCTAATCCTAATAAATGATTTGATTCATGAGTATAACAGTGTCTCTATGTCTTAACAGCCAGCCAGCACAAGCACGGTGGTTTGACAGGAAGAAATATGTCACCATCAACTTCATGGTTCAGAAACCTAAAGACGTCCAGGTTGATATCCAGACAGATAAAATGGTTTTATGGTGAGTTTAAACACATAAGTGCAGCTTTGTTTCCATGTCAGTGAGATCTCTTTCCTGATCCCTATACCTCTGTCTTGTGTAATATACTTAGTGCAACAAGGTTTTCTTTCCAGGCAGTGAAATTGTCTATACAAGTACCAGTTGTCTATACAATAAAATGCTGTGTATATTTTGCACTAAATTGCTCCCTTGACAACGCTGTCCTGTCTTCACAACAGCTGCAAAAACGATGAGGATGATGTGATCTACAATGAGCTGTACTTCTACGAGAAAGTTCTAAAGCATGTAAGCATCCAATTTCAGGCATGATGAGACCAGAGGAATATGATCACTTCTTCATGTTGTAAGCTGGAATTTACAGTCAGTGTGCATTTTTATCTTTTAAACACTTTTAAAGGACTGCAGAGAAAAAGTCTTTGACCGCAGCATCAATGTCTTGCTGAGGAAAGTGAAGCCTGATTACGCATGGCCACGTCTCCAGAGAGATGAGGCAAAGGTGAGTGTGTGTGTGTTTGTGTGTTAAAACTGATTGGTCACAAGTTTTTTTTTTTTACATCATTAGTTCTCAACGTTGGCTGCAGCGCTCCCAATTTAGGTCCAAACACTCTCATGATCTCAGACGTTTTCAGTGTTAATGAATTTTTTGACACTTTTTTTAAACTAATTTTTTATTTCAACTTCAGCAGACCACACAAACAATACAGTTTTTACATAGCTCACATAGTACATAGTACTATGACCATTTTACAAAGTTTTCAGCTGCCGTAACATCTATCCAGGTTTAAGACAAATACGGTGAAGTGTTAAAGTGTGATAAGATGTACTTCAAACTTGCAAGGAACAAGAAAGAAAGTGAGATACCAGTAATAATGATAAATAAAAGAGGTGTCCATACAAACATACCTGTTTGACGACATGTACTCTTTCCCTTATTGCATCAACAGACGCATTACAGGACTCCACCTCTTAATGGATTTTGGTCTTTGCAACCTCAATGCATACATGATTTGTTCCATTTCATGCAGTTCCCATATATTTTTTAATGCAGATGTTGTACGTTGGAGGTTCAGGATTCAACCATCTAATTGCGATACCTCTAATCGCAGCCTCTAAGAGGATTTGTAATAGATACATTTTTGCCTTCCCCTCAAACCTTCAAGGATTGCTGAGGAGAATCACCCTTGGATCTTTGGGGATATTTTGCTCTCAGGGCATCTAACTCACCCTTCCAAAAGTTGCTTAACTTGGGGTAGGACCAGAAAATATGACTGTGGTTTCCACTTTGTGGGCCACATTTTCACCAACACTTGTCTGAATTGGATGGAGCCCACTTAGCTGTTACTTATGACACATGTTTGCATTGTATTTTTAAGAGCATATAGAAATAGTGATATATTTCAGAATGATTTATTGTATTTCCCACCATGCAAATCAAGAGATACCACGTGAGGTTCCGACCACTTAGTTGAAAAACTCTTGACTCACTGTTGCTGCTCAGAAAAACACATGTTCATAAAGAGACACATGTTTGACTCCTTTGAATGACACTTAATCTCAAAGTACACTTTTCTGTAGGTGTGTAGGTAACACAATTTACCACAGGTGGGACCAAGCTATTGTTTTGCAAGTCACAAATAAGTCTCAGATCTTTGTACTCCAGTCCCAAGTCAAGGCTAACAAGTCCCAAGTCCTAAATTTTGAGTTTCGAGTGCAAAACAAGTCATAACAGGCTCTCTAATAAAAGTAATGGCATTTTAACAACAGAGTAATATGATAAATTTTACTTTTAAATTTGTATTTGTTAAAAAAGTTTGTTAAATAGTTGCTCGGCTGTTAAGCTAACGTTAACTAGGTATTAGCTCGCTAACTGTGCTGTGTTAATATTAATCTTGATTTGCCATTCTTTGTCCAACTTTAGATGTGGATCGAAGTTGGAAGTTGTTGCGTCTCCATCTGTCTCCACACATTTACTGCAATTTGTTTTTTGTTTACCACCAGTTTTTGTATGTGAAGGAAATTATCCTTGGTATCAAATTTTGAAACTGGTGCTCAGTAATGTAATGTTACTTCTTCATGGTTCTTTCCTGCAGCTTGATTGGGCGCTGTGGGATTGGTTCAAACAAAGTGGATCTGGGAAATTAAGTGTTGACTGGGAATGAATAGTGTTAGCGTTAGCTGATTCAAAAAAAAGGAAATGATTCATTGCACACTGTTTAGATAATGGGAGAAAGCAAAAAGTATTTTCAAGTCAAAAGGCTCAAACCCAAATTAAGACATGAGTCTTAAATGTTAAAGTCCAACTTAACTTGCAAGTATTTTTTGATTTTGTCAAGTCAACTCTAAAGTCATCAGTTGTGATTCAAGCCCAACTTTAGTCCAAGTCATGTGACTTGAGTCCACACTTCTGCAACTACTTGCCAGCAATGCTGTAATTATGAAATGGGGTGTTCCTGCATCCCCTCTCAACTTAACTTTGTGCTGCTTCTCCTTCACTTTACAGGCTAGCTGGATTTGTGTAGACTTTGATAACTGGAGGGACTGGGAGCATGAAGAGGATGAAGGAAAGGAAGAGTACGATAGATACATGGATGTGAGTAAATGCAGTAATGCTTCTGTTATGGTGATAATGATTAAGAGTTTAGGAAACCATGCACGTACTTTGCATTATTCACATAATTTCTCTCTTAGGTTCTGTAAACACTTGGCTTTTCTTTTTCAGGTGATCCAAGAATTGGCTACCAGTAATAAAGGAAAAACACCAGATATGGATGATCTTAGTGATGTAAGTGCAGTACTGGTAGAGGTTACTTAAATGCAACATGGATTATTTTCTTTTATCTGTTAAATCACTTGTGTTTTGCCTTAAAAATACTGCCAAGAGAGTAATGGTTATAAATAGCAATCCTGTATGAATCTGGGTGTATGACTATAATCAGTATTTGACTGATTATCTAAATGTTGGCACTGACCACTTTCTTCCCTCTTCTCCACAGTCTGATTGAGACTCACACCCTCTCTCCTTAAGGGCCAGGACACTGAAGCTTTGTTTTCTGGAGTTTGTAATATTTGCAGGTGATTTGATATGTTATTGTCCAAAATATTGTTCTTATATATGTGATATTTTCTATGGCATTATTTATGGGCATATTATTGTCCACTGTACGCTGACATATCTTTGTCAGTTTTAATAAAAAGACCTTTATCAACTGTGGTTTGAAAGTGATTATGATGCGGAGAATGGGGAAAAATATCTGATGTTAACAGACTTTTACCAGTAATTAAAAGGTTTTATACTGGATTATGGGGGTGAGTGTGGTAGAACATGGATGCTAGTTTCAGTAGCTCCAGAAGATGGCAGTAATGCAGCAATATAGATGCAAGTTTCTTTAATTCCCTCATCATTCTTTTTTTAAACAAAGAATATGAGGTCTTCATAGGTTTTACAAAGTCAAATCCCTGAACATCTTTTCATTTACTTCCTGGCATACACACTTTCATACTTTTCCCAACAGCGTTTATACACAATCCATTTCCCCCAACATTCTGTATATGTTTCTAGCTCAAGCCTTAAGAGAAAAGTAAGTATTTCTATACAGTATATTTGGTTAATATCCCCAGTCATTGGGCCAATGTTGGAGGATCAACTTGCAACCATTTGCGAGTTATGGCTTTCTACTTGCCAAAAGTATCCTTAATAAAATTCCCTCTTCACTCTTGGTATAGCCAAAAATAGTTCACACAGAGAACATAGACACAGACAATAAAAAAGTGCAAAAAAATCTTGTTAATATCAATTTTGTTCAGTTTTTTAAAATTTTTTTTTTTTTTAATATCACTTCATCAAAATGTTTTAAATGCTTACATTGCAGCAGATGATTAATCCTAATGATGTATGGGTTTCTAGCACATGTTTTACATACACTGTATGTATTATATTATTATAGATTTTATTAGTATATTATTATCTATGCACCTATATGGCCAAGTCTGTTCAATGTTTGACTTAAAAAGCAAAATTCTATTCACTATTCATTATTATTATTATTATTACGTTTTGTTTCTATTTTCTGTTTTTTAGTAAAAGCTATGTCACATAAAAATGTTAATAAATAATAAATAAATAAATAAATAAATAAAGAAATAAAGAAAGAAAGAAAGAAAGAAAGAAAGACTCGAAGCCAAACAAAGTCGGTTGAACTAAGTTTGGACTACATTGATTGCCGTACTAAGCCGACAGCTGTAGCAGTTTGTTTGACTTGTATAACACCAGCTCGTGTCTCAGGTGGATTTTCTCCTCAAAAACACTCCACAATGGCTTTTCAGTGTCAACGAGACTGCTACATGAAAGAGGTATGAACACTTTTAAGACAGTTTGTCATGACTAAAGTGTTGATAGCATGCGACAACACCTGACGTTACATATTAGGCTACATTCATTCTCTGCTGAGGGGATTAGCATGGTTGCTAACTACAGTGGGAGCACGAGCTGGTTAACGGTACCCACTGTAACTGATAAAGTTACTGTTTAACTTGTTTTAGGGCACTGCACATTTAGTATTTGTTGAATTATTTAATGTTGTGACAATGCAAAAGAGTACTAGCTTAATGTGTGTACTACTAGCTAGCCTCTCACATTCATGCTGTCAGCCAGAGCCCACTGTCAAAATGTCAACAATTTTTATTTCTTTAAGTATTACTCAGCATCTCGCGCTCAAAATGCACGCAGTTGCTTTCATGCTTCTCTTTTTGTGCAAACCTAAACCTTAGTAAAGTTAAGTTTTTTTCTTGTGTTGTTTTTTTGTGTTAGTTTGTTACCTGTGTGGTCTCCTGCTGCCCAGCTGAGCTCAAACATGAAGTCAGTGGGAAGAAAGAAACTCTAAAGGGCTTCAATGTCAAACTCCAAGACACCATCTTGTTTCCTGAAGGAGGTGGCCAGGTAAGCTGATTTATAAAAAAAAATCATACTTTGTGCATCAAGCATTACCTGTCACTGATAACTGCAAATGTGTAACCAGAAGCATGCACTAAACTCAGACAAAACCAAATGGATGCTGTTCACCAGTGCTACTCATGCTGAATCTTTCAATATTCATTCTGCAAATGGCACATCCATAGAGAGAAACCCACAGTATAAATACCATGGTATCTGGCTGGACGACAATCTTAATTTTAAGCACCCTATTAAAATTCTCACTACCAAAATGAGGACAATACTTGGCTTTCTGTACATAAATAAGAACAGTTTTCCTTTTGTGCATAGTCAAGGAATTGTAGAATCTGTATTTTTTGTCTGTTTTCGATCATGGGGATGTTATATACGGATAAGCGACTGTCTACCACTCAGCCCTAAAGTTCATAACAGGTGATTGTTACAGCACCCATCACTGCAACCTTTACCACCAAAAGGTTGGCTGGCCACATTTGGCTGTGAGGCGGGAACAGTATTGGTGTTTGTTCATTTATAAAGCTTTGAAGCAGATGTTTCCACCCTATATTTCATCACTTTGAACTCTGACCTCACATAATCTTGGTACTCGCTCACAGAATAGGTTGTTGCTTCACATTCCCTGAATTCTGATCTGGTTTTAATTGAGTGTAAATGCTTATAACTATACATCTACACTTCAGCATGTTTATCAACCTGTATTTGTACTTTTAGCGATCATTATTGCTATTGTTGTTTGTTGTTTTGTATGATTTAATTTCTGTTTTAATTGACATGCATGATGGCTCTTTGTTCATGCTCGGCATCATTAAAAAATGGGGGTCTCCCTCAATTGATTTCCCGAGTCTTAATTAAAGGTCTGAATGAATGAATGTACATAAACATTCATGTTGCTTATTTGGGAATTGTTTGTATCAAATTAAAACATAGCAGTGAAAACATAGTACATGATATTATTACTAATTTTCACGTTTTGTGTCCTCCTCTATCAGCCAGATGACCATGGGTTAATAGGAGATGTCCCAGTCTTAAGGGTGACAAGGCAGGGGCCTGAAGCTGTACACTTTGTGACCTCACCTCTGGAGGTGGGGCAGGAGGTGCAAGTAAAGGTGGACTGGGAGAGGAGATTTGATCACATGCAGCAACACTCAGGTGAGCAAAACTAAATGAATAAGGTAAGGGAGTCTTGCATCATATATTGGTGTTATATACTTGGTACAAGCTATGATTGGCTTCTTTCTGTCTCTCAGGTCAACATTTGATCACAGCTTTGGCAGATAACCTTTTTGGATACAAGACCACATCCTGGTACATCACCACTGTGGATTTATTTCACTGTAACCATAAAAACTTGCAGGCTTACCTCTCCTCTATTTTTTTTTCTTTTTTTTCAGGGAGCTGGGGCGTCAAAGAAGCACCATTGAACTGGACACTCCCTCTGTGAAGCCTGCCCAGCTCCAGGCCCTGGAAGAAGTCGTAAATGAAAAGATCAGAGTCCACGTCCCTGTCACTGTTCAGCTTCTCTCTATAGACGATCCTGCTGTGGAAAAGGTCCATATACTGATATTATTGGTGCTAAAATACAATCCTTTTATTGTGTGATCAATGACTTAAAAGCCAAGGTTTTAGATGGTTTCAAAACAAATCTAATGTTGAATGTAGTGCATTTATTAACTTTACAAGCAGATTTTACATGTGCAGTATGTGATATGAGTTGTGTGTGTGTGTGTGTGTGTGTGTGTGTGTGAACCAGGTGAGGAGTCGAGGGCTGCCAGACGACCATGCAGGGCCCATTCGGATTGTTGATATCGAGGGCGTCGATGCCAACATGTGCTGTGGAACCCACGTGTCTAACCTCAGTCACTTACAGGTTTGACTTCATACACCCATGCAGACACATAAGCACTTAAATGTGCCGCATCTAGGGCTGGGCGATATTGGGGAAAGTCAAATGTCATGATATTTTTTTAATAACTACCTCTGTCGATTTGTTAGTGCTTTCACTAAATATTTGCACAATGAGATTTTTGAGATATAATCATCAGTAATGTAGACATAATGACTAAGTGGGTAAAGGCAAATAAAACAATAGGTAGAATAGTCTAGTAAGTTCAGAAAATTACATGACTTTACTGTAATGCAGTCTATAAATTATATATATAAAATATATAAATTATTAAAGTATATAAAATGAAAAAAAATAAATAAATAAATAAACTAGGAAAAGACAACACTTCTGATATTACAGCATCCAAGATCTAAGACGATATCTTGTGTTCTGTTAGGATATCGATATATTGCCCAGCCCTAGACTCATCTAACTTGCGTACATTACTTCACATGGTCATGTCATATTTTTAACATTTCACTATATCTGAATTGTAGGTGATAAAACTACTGGGGACTGAGAAAGGGAAGAAAAACAAAACCAACCTGATCTTCCTGGCAGGAAACAGGGTATTGAAGTATGCTGAGAAAAGCTACAGCACAGAGCGATCACTCGTGTCTCTGCTAAAGTAAGTCTGAGTCATCCAAATATCACCAGTGTGAGTTAAACTCAGTCACAGAGTTTGAAGTGAAAAAAATCCTTGTTGTTCAACAGGACTGGACCTGATGAGCACGTTGAGGCCGTTGACAAGTTGCAGAAGTCTGTTAAGCTACTACAGAAAGTAAGAAAATTGCATCAGTGATTTTTTTCTCTAGATTCCCACTCACTGCATGTGCTGTTTATGTTTGAGAACTGTAGATGAGCAATTCCTGCTGTAGCAGTGTGTCATAATTGTGATTAGCCCCAGTGCAAATATTTTTCTTGCGCCCTCACCTCACCCCAAACACAGATGCACTTCTGTACACACACATGCTCAGACAAACACAACCAGGGTTTAAATTGGGCCAGGGCTGTTCAGAGTATAACCTATGTATAGGCAGCAACAGAATGTTTGCTGATCTGGTGGGGTGTCGGGGCAGTCCGGGATCGGACCCCCTCTAGGTCTAGCGCTGGCTGGAGTTTAATTGGTACAGCCATGGTCTGGGTTTCCTCCTGGAAAGCACTGTATCACCTATGTTTTTGCAACATAACACATTGCACATAGACTCCCTAACTTTCTTCAAAATGTTTTGGGCAGACGAACCTGAGCCTGCTACGAGACATGGCTGTCATCATCTCTCAGAACTTTAACAACAACCCCCAGAGAGGCAACTTCTTCAGCTTGCACAAGTAAGAGACCTGGCTGAGTTTAAAGTACAAACATCTGCGAAAGTG